ACCCCTTCCTTCCCCCCAGAGGTCGGTTACTACAGATGCTGCAGCAGAGCCACAAGCCTCGTTGCCGGAGCCGCTTCCGCAAACGGTGCCGCCTGCCCAGCCGACTCCTCAACCAGGGCCCTACGATGGATCCGGTACCGATCCAGGTGTCATCGTCATCTTCGTCTCCTGATGAAGCCTGGGTGGATCCTGCACCAGCGTTGCCTACTATGGATGCTCGAGTGCATCAGGATCTGCTTAGGCGTCTGGCCTCCAAGCTGGGTGTCCTAGTGGAGCCAGTAGTGGAGGACACAGACCCCATGATTGACATTCTCTCTGACAATGCGCCCGCCTGCTTGGCTTTGCCACTTAATAAAACTGTGGCCAAGATTACTAACGCCCTGTGGCAAACCCCGGCTTCCCTGACCCCTGCCTTAAAGGGAGTCGAGAGGCGCTATTACGTTCCGCAGTCGGGGCACGACGGCGTCTCGGGGCATTGAGCGCAACTGTCAGCATCGCTGTCACGACCCACTCCTTTGCCCCAGAGATCTGTTACTACAGATGCTGCTACAGGGCCGCAAGCCTCGGTGCAGCTCCGCATTGCTAACCAGCAAGCAATGCTGAGTCGATATGCTTATACATAGCAGGCGGTGGATAAGTTTGACAGGCTCCCTGCCGAGGCCCGTCAGGAGTTTGCGGCCATGACCTCAGAGGGCAGAACCATCGCCTGCATGGCCCTTCAGGCCTCCCTGGATGCTGTTGACTCTGCAGCCCACACCATGGCGTCAGGTGTAGTTATGCGCTGTGGTGCCTGGCTGCAGGTGTCTGGAATACCTCCGGACATCCAAACCACGATCCAGGACCTGCTTTTTGACGGCAAAGCGTTGTTTTTGGAGCACACGGACTCCAGGCTCCATACACTTAAGGACACGAGATCTACTCTCCGGTCTTTGGGGATCCACACGCCGGCCCCTCAGCATCTTCAGCTGCCCTACAGACAGCAGGGGAGAACGCAGTCCCAGGTCCCCCGTGGGGATTACCGGGGACGCTGTCCTTGTGCCCCCAGTGGGAGTGCGAGGGCGGCTGTGTGCCCGTCATCCGCAAGGGGTTGTCAATGTCGCCCGAGAGGGGACAACCCCCATGGGGTTGGTCAAGGCCCCTCTCAGCAGCCCAAGCATCAGGGGGCGACCTGCCGACGCTACGGGTACTGCTTGGGAAAATGCTCCGGAAGACGCGGTGCGCACACCTAATTCGAATGGACATGAGCAACACATCTCGAAGAACAACAGTTACAGGTATGTAACCGTTCTTTTCTTTTAAATTGCATCCTTCTGTAATTTTTGAGTTTTCATGTTATGTTTTTGCTCTCTGCCTTGAGAGTGTCCAAGTAGAAAGATGAGGAACGTCACTGGAATAAAGAGAGTCACTTGGACCTTAAGCATATCAGTAGATCGGGGGCTAGGAGTTACAGGGATCTCTAGGTGCCTTGATGAATGCTTGGATTTCACCAATGAAGCGAGGCAGTGTGTGTTGAATAAATACTGGATGGAGCTAGGAGCTTCCCTGTCTTCTGTAGTAGAAAATAAGGGGTTTATGGTTCCTGAGCAGTTAGATTATCTAAAAATGTATTGTCTGACTGTGCTGTTTGCTGTGTATTTAAATTTGGCTAATTTGTCTACAACTAATTATATACCACCACAGAATAGTAGGCAAATAATGATGCGCACCTTTTTTGGCACACTAAAAGCAAAGTACATGTCTGTACAGTAGTGACCAATATTGTTGTTGAACATGCTAGAGGAGAACACAATACATTCTTCCATGAATACTGGAGCATGTATCTATAGAATATAACACCTAGAATTGTATGTTATAATTGGAGAAACCACAGGAAATATTGTGGAGACATTTTCGTTACTGATCAAGAAAATTACTTTGCTGAAATTCTACCAAGAAATGCCTGTATGACTCATTTCTCTTTGTCTTGGCATCCCAGTCTGTAAAATCAAGGATGTAATTCACTGCCTCATAGATTTATTGTGAGGGTTCTATTTGTAAAGCACATTGCAATTCTTTAGCATCTTCTATTTGAGGAACTCCAAATATCAAAGTTGGACGTTAAGTCACCGAACAGCTATCTCTGAATTAGTGATGCATACTTTCATATTTCCATTGCTCCTTTCATTTGAGAAGCATCACACTTTTAATAAACATTGCACTCTCAATACTTCTTTGAGCTAATGGAAGAATTGCTATAATATCCATTTTATACACGTGCAAACTGCAGCAGGGAGGTGAAATTACTTCCCCCATTTTCCACAGCATTGCTCTGGCAGACTTGGGAATATCAGTCCCAAATCTGCATTCTGAACATTAACAGCCCATTCTACTGTGAATAGACACTGCAAAAAACAACACACAGCTCGTATGTAGCAGTCAGGATCATTTCACTGTTTTCAGCAACTAAAAATTATGTTTCTTGCTAGATAAGGAAAACAGCAGCCAGTCAAGTGTATGAAATGTTGATAACCTACAGTGACATTGTCGATCCTGATATTCTGGACGAGGTCATGACAGTACTTAGTGACACCAGTTGGTAAGTGACACCATTGTCAGAGAAATTTTTAAAAATAAGGCCTGTTTTCATAATTCTCATATCTATTTGTTCATGAGAAAAAGTGGGAAAGAATCGTAAATGACATGATATCTTTATAAAATCCACTTATTATTTTATGCGAGCTTTTTAGGCCCAAAAGGGTTTTGCTGAAAGGAATCTTTCTGCCTGAAAGCTTATCTATTGTATATCACATACTGGTGATAAAAAGGGGACAACATTCTGGAAGTTTGTCTCTGAGACACTAGAACTAGATTGTGCAAATTGACAAACCTCAATTGCAGACAAATGTTCTTGGCATTTAGGAGCATTTACAGTGCTCTGAGAGAGGACAGTGTGTGGGCAGAGCGCTGAAGTGTGTCGTATTGGGAAGAAACTCTAAAATCCAGTACTCGCTGGTCCAGCAACATCCATACTCTGGCAGGACAGGAGAGCCCAGCTCAGAGTGGAGGTGGCCAGAGTCAGAAGTGCAGCTCAGGCTGGTGGCAGAGGGCCCAGCGGCCGAGAGTGCAGCCCGGGCTGACAGTGAGGAGTGCAGCCCCGGCCAGGTCCAGGAGTGAAGCCCAGGGGCCAGAGCTGGCGTCTAGAAGTGGGACTGAGGGCTATAGATGGGAGGGACCTTGACCTTCCCTGGTCCAGAAAACTCCTTGATTTGGGACCATGTAGGTCCTGAGGGAGGTCCAACCTGTTCTCATGTTTTCCTGTGAAATCCATTTCAGAAATGTTGAAACTTCCTTCTAACAAATATTTTGAAATAAAACAGTCTGGCGTTTCCCAGTGGAATGTTCACCTTGTGCATTTATAATACCATTTAAACTACCTTCCGTGGCCTTTGCCATCAAACCTCTTCTGGAAAAAAGGCTCCACTTGCAATCGTGAATTAATACAGTTGACTGGACCACAATTACTTGTCAGCCTTTTGAGTCATTTCTCTTGCTCTTTTAGAACACTTGTATCAAATGCTCTGCTGGTGTAGCGGCAACATTATCTTGTCCATGCCAGGTGCAGTGGGCTATCACGGACCCAAAGGTAGTAAAGGGTCAGTAGAGGTGGTGTCCTTCACCTGACATTCACCTAGTGATGAAAAAGGGGACTTCTCGCAGCCTCTCAACCAACATAAAATGAGAGAGAAACATGTGGCTCTAGGAAAGCAGAGTGCTGTAAGAATTGCTTTTTATATTTATACCGAAATGTTCATTTTCCCACAGCTTTATTTAGTGTTGCATGTAAAAATGAGCCTGAAATGTAAATTGTTAGGAAAGATAAAGGCTTTGGCTCTCCAGACTAATAGAGGGTGTTTTAAAGCAGCGGCCGGACCACGGACCAGTGCCAGTCTGCGAACTGCTGGCTGCCGGGCCATGGCTTCTTTGGGGGCTAGGGCACACTGCCCACAACCTGCCCTCTTGCCATGGCTGTTGGGAGAGGTGTGTCCTGCCCTGCCTCTCAGCCAACCAGTGCCAGGCAGGGGCGGGGTTTCCTCCTGGACGCAGAAGAGCTGTTCGCTGCATGGTGTGAGGGCTGCGTGGAGCCCGGCAAGGCCCTTCCTGGCTGCCGGGCCATGGCTTCTTTGGGGGCTAGGGCACACTGCCCACAACCTGCCCTCTTGCCATGGCTGTTGGGAGAGGTGTGTCCTGCCCTGCCTCTCAGCCAACCAGTGCCAGGCAGGGGCGGGGTTTCCTCCTGGACGCAGAAGAGCTGTTCGCTGCATGGTGTGAGGGCTGCGTGGAGCCCGGCAAGGCCCTTCCCATGGAGTGGCTCCCCGG